AAAAGTGGAAGTGAATAACTTTAGCAACTTCGTATAAAGAAAACTTATATAAAATGTTCCATAGATGGTATTTGTCACCAAGTCAACTAGCTAAGATGTTTCCAAATATGTCAAATAGATGTTGGAAATGTAAACATAAAGTGGGTACTTTTTATCATATGTGGAGGACTTGTGACAACGCAAAAAAAGTACTGGATTAAAATACATGGATGGATGGAGGAAATATTACAAAAACCCTTTGCTTTTAAACCTGAAGTTTTCTTGTTAGGCATTATACCGGAAGATGTTAACAGACAGGAAATCTATTTGATGCTGCATCTAATTACAGCGGCGAGGATTGCATTTGCTCAATATTGGAAAAGTGAGGAGCTGCCCACCAACAGATTGATTCCAAGAAAGATCTTGGACTGTGCAGAAATGGATAGACTAACTTTATTGTTGAAGGAGAAAGAGGATACTGATTTCTATCGAACTTGGGACTCTTTCTATAATTGGCTGGAGAAACGGGACTTGGCGTAAATTTAGAGATGTTTTTCAAACCATGATATACTAACTGGAATTTGATATTAGAATGTTAAAAAATATGTAGTAGGAGGTTGACCCAGTGAATCCAATGTTAATGTTTGTGATGTTTGATTTTTTTTAAGTCTTAGTTTAAAAATTTTAATAAAATATATATTAAAAAAAAGTGAAAGTGAATGTCTGACTTCCTCCATGCAGACAAAAGAGAAGAGGGAGAAGGGAGACTGGTTGATTTCCAGTTTATCGCAATATCCAAATGCTGCCTCAGTCTTTATCGGGCTTCCCCAGACTTGTCAGTGAGATTCCCACCTGGTGTAACTCAAGACACTCCACTGTATTACTTCACTCTGCAGAGAAAAATCACCCATCACACTGGGTTATGGAGCAGCAATCTGCTTCCTCAGAGTGCAACAGACCCAAGCAAATTGTGGAAGACTTTCCAAATTCTCTGGTATACACAAAAGGCTTGGGAAAGAGGAAGGATCAATAGCAATTATAGATATCAGCAAGCCAAAGTTTGCAGACTCCTGTCATTAACCTTGCCAGGTCTATTAAGCTTCGTGGGGTGCAAAATGCAAGAGGGCAAAAACCTCCCGCTGGCATTCACTTCTTAGTAGCCACTGCTAAAGCAAACTAGCAGAACCATTTAATGTTAATTTTTGCGAAGAGGTGCATTACCTGCATATTTGTTAATGTTCTCCAACATCCAAAATGATTTACAGTTGGGAATGTTGCAATCACGTTTGTTTGGGTATTTAAAGCTTGCACTACTTCAGGCTAAGAAGAAATGAGAGTATTTTGTCTCCCGTTCGGTGAGTGCCCTGGGTCTGTGTGCATGAGAGAACGTGCTGCAGAATCATCAGCTACAGCATTTCACCAGGTTTAGTGATGGTTCAGAAAAAACAACCACTGCTATCCAAGACTATTAGTGGATGTGGATACAGGCTCCATTTCCTCAAAGTTTAGGAAAAGTCCAGGTCCAAATGGGTGCCTCAATATATGAACTCTGCTACAATCCAGGTTGCACTGAAAGACAAGGGCACACTGTACATGCTCACAGATACCCTTCATTAACTGAGACAATATGCAGAAGAGCCGCTTTTCTCCTTAAACCTCCACCTTCAATTTAGAGCAGGCCCTACAACCTCATGCACATCCTTTGAGGGCTCCCCACACCCAATTAATCCTACCCCAACTCTGGGAGAGACAGGTCTGACATCCGCTTAAACTAGCATTACCGCTTCCCCATCAAGGCCTCCCTCACCGCACACTGTTAAATCCACCCTACAAAGGGGTCCAACAGGTTCATTAGCTGGTTGCGTAAGCTTGCTTATTAACTTGTCACTTTCGAGAGGCAAACAGCCAGGGCTTGCAAGAGGAGAAGGGGCACTCGGACAAGGCAAGGCTGACTTTGACCCCCAAAGCACTGCAGCTGCGCATTTGCTACACCACCGGCAAAGTAACCCCAGTAAATGCTTCCCCTTCTTTTTCCCTGCTCTGTCTCTACCCCAAACAATCTCCCCTCCCCACAATACCGCCTATAAGCATCAACTAGAAAGATGCTAGGCGCACATCTTTCAACAGCAGGTAGGCAATTCAATACCTTGCATAACTCCTGGCCGTGGGCACCACCCTTCCCCAGCCTGCCTGGGACATGCCTGCAGCTGCATGCAGCTAGAGCGGGCTGACAGCTCCTGGTACTAAAGGGGGCCTGGACAAATTCATGGGCAAGGCAGGTCTCACTGGATGCCGCCCGTCCACCTCCTTTATCAGAAGCAGCGTGTCTGCATGCGTCCTTTGCAGAGAAGCACGGGAAGGTCTTGCACCCAACCTGCTTCAGGGATCCTGGGTCCAGTCCATCCTCAAGAAGAGATGGACTGGACAGACCACTCATCTGATCCAGCACGGCTTTTCTTATGCTCGTAGGCATTCATGCCTCTGCAGCTACCTTGGAAGAGAACATAAAAACGCTCCAGTTCAGCAACGCTATGAAAGAACCCTTGGAAGTCAAGACTGAACCTAATGCGACTGGAGTCTCAAGGCACGACGAGAGCGAGGAACGGCACAACTTCCCCTTGCTTCCGTCCGTCTTGAGTTCCTGCACTTCTCCTGAGTTAACACATTCATTTCTACCACAGGCCAGGGTGTACTCCACAACACATATGGGAAAGAGTTGGCCACATTTTTAAATGAAAGCTGTAGCACCAGACATGACATAACAAGACTTGGTGCAACCTGCCGCCCGGTGGCTTTTGCAGCCAAGCCAAGTGACAGAAAGCGGCGGTGCAAAAGTTCCAACAGGCAAGTGAAATGAAATCCAAAGGGATTTTCCTGCACTACCAAGCCCAGCCCATTATATTCTATGCAGTCATGGCAAAGCACAGCAATCCTGGGAGTTACTCTACGGGACTGTTTGCTTGTGTGCCTCTCCCCATTTACCTGGTGTATTCTTACTATGAGGTTGCCCCCAACCCAGTGGGCATGAAATGCCATGTCAAATGTTAACAGGACTGTGCTAGGGTGGGTGGTTAATTGATAATCCTAGGCACGCTGTCCTGGAAAGCAGACCCACAAACAGAGCAAGAAGAATTGAAGCGAACACTGTATTAAAACCAAGTAAGTGTGTATGTCAAGAAATCAGCCAATTCATCCAGGGATCTAGGTGACCTCTTCCAGAGCAAGATGGAATAAGGTGTAGCATCGAATGCATGAAACATCCTATGTGGAATACTTCCAGGAAGAGAAATTAACATGGTAAGAAATGCCATTGCTTGACCTTGGACAGTAAAGAACAATGTTGTCCTCCAGATGTTTTTGAATATAGTTCCCATCATCCCTGACCATTGGCGATGCAGCTGGAGCTAATGCAAACTGTGGTCAAAATTCCTGGAAGTCACCCATCTGGCTAGCCTTGAATTCGATCTACAACCCACACCAATCTGGCACCTTCCAGAAGTGATCAGCTCCAGCCAGCACAGTGATTAGGTGGAGGACGCTGTATTCCAGGACAACTCTATGCTGCCATATTGGCTGAACTAGAAAGAATGCACTTTCTTGTGAATGCGAAGCAGGGAGACAACAGCGGCTTTTTTAATACCTTCTTGTAAACCACCCAAAAAGCTCTGGCTACAGGGAGATACAAAAATGAAATTAATGATAATAATAACTATCATAGATAGAGGAAGAAGAGACCTTACTCTAATCTTACCCAATGTGGCAGCCTCCAGATGTTTTGGACTACAATTCCTAGCATTCCCAACTATTGGTCATGCATTTGACTGGAACCAATTGAGGAAGGCTGCTGTAGGCTTTCATTCCAAATGTAGAATTACTTTTAAAAAAACCCATCAACTATCCACTTATCAGCAACATATAAGGCACTATCATTATCATAGGCATTAGGAATGCCCACCACCAACAGTAAGAAGGAATGAAGATTCTAGTGCTCATGAGAGCAAGAAGAGAAAACAAGTTGTCTTTTAGCATCCTTCCCTTCTCATTCAAGCAGACAAAAGCACAGATGAGCACACACTTGCTGAAAGGTGCCCCCTGCCAAAACATACTATCTGGGGAATGCCGGAAGTTGTTCCACATTTTCCTGTGCAAACATGCTCTGGGCTGCAGGCTACACAATCGAACCCCATCCCACAATTAACCCTTGCAGCACCGTCTTGAGCCACAATATTGAAGCATGTCCTCTTAGCAAATGAAAACATAAAGCCAATACAGACAGAATTGTTGCGAATGAATGCATGCGCACGGGAGGGGGTTCTGCTGGATCGTTCGCAGGGATACCGAAGACACGAGGTGCCAACGGAAAAGGGCACAGTGTGACAAATCATAACATTTGGCTTATTCAGTGGGGAGGCTCACGCATTTCTCAAAAGTCGTGTCACCTCCGAACTGGGAACTTCCAAAAACCGCGGTTTTGCAACCGTGAGCCCCGGCTGGCCACCGTGCGGTAAAACGCTGCGGCGCCTGGTTGTTGTGGGTTTGATCTTGTTTCCTTTGCGGGGGACTGGTTGGTTCGCCGGCGGCTGGGGGGTCGCTTTAATGTTTTTTGACAACCCGGGAGTTTTTGCGCTCTTGCGAAAGAAAAACCGCCAGCAACGTTCCCCTCGATTCATTAAATCCTGGCTGGATTTTGGGGCGGGGAAACGCACAGCAACCAGCCCCTCTGCCTGCCGGCTACCTCGGGAAACCGACGGATACAAGCGCCTGCTGTTCGGGCAAGGGAAAAGCCGCCAGCCTCGGGGGCGGGTTTCGCCCCCCACCCAGACAACGGAGGGCAGCCCCTTTGCGCAGCGCTGCACGGGCAGTCCAGTGCGCCGGCGATCACGGGAGGGACTCCGTCCCCGCAGCGGGGAGGACGGCCCCGCCGCCGATCGCGTCCTGGGGCTGCTCCGCAACAGGACGGGGCGCCTCCCTCCCCCCCGCGCGCCCGCCGCGCCCGGGACCCGCGCCGCCCCCCTTCTCACCTTGACGGAGTCCACGGGGTACATGACCGTGTGCTCCAGGATGCCGGCCACCGCCCCTGCCGTCATGTGGGTGCCCAGAGAGGCGCTCAGCGGCAGGCTCTCGTAGTCCTCCTCCTTGCCGGGACTCTCGCCATCCATCAGGAGCCCGGGCGCGCCTGACGGTGCAGGGCTGCCCGCCGCCGCCGCCGCCCCCGCTACCGGCTGCCCGCCGCCGCCGCCGCCGCGTCCCCCGACGTTGCAACTCAGCTCCATGAGCCAACAAGTCCTGCAGCCGCGGGAGCGGAGAAAATGAAAGGGAAGGTGGGAGGGAAAGAGGGCGGGCGGGGGCAGAAAGTTCACTTCTTAAAGTCACGCCCCCCGCCCGCCGGCGCGGCCCCGCCGGGCCAGCGGCGGCCAATGGCGAGGCGCGGGCGCGCTGCGCCCTGGCGAGCGATTGGCACGGGCCGCCTCGCCCCGCGGCCTGGCGCGCCGCAAATCGTGGAAAGGCGCCGCGCTGACTTACAGCGCTGCCAGCAAATCCCTGGGCAATCCCGGGCGCGGGGAGGAGCGAGGCCTGGCGCTCGCTTCCCGGCCCGCGGAGGCTGGCGAGGCCGCGGGGGCGCCGGCGAGCGCGCCAGGCGAGGCGGGCGAGGCGCGCTCCCGCGAGCGTGGCGAGGGGCAGAAGGGGGGCGGCGTGCAGCAGCCGGCTCGAGGCCTGGCAGAAGAGCTTCACGTGGAAGACCGCCGTTTAACAACCAGTTCTTTGCTAAGCGGGGCGATGACCCAAAGCAGGCCCCTTCAAGCAGTTCTGGGGACGGAGAAATGCGTTTTTGCTCCAGCCCAGGATAAAACGCACGTATTGTGCGGAATGGTGTAGGGTCGGGCCCTGTCTCCCAAGGGTAAAGGGATGCATGGATGAGAGGTGGAGGCATTTGATCTCGGGGAAAAGGCTGAGGCAGAAAGATGCAGGGGTGTGGGCAGCGGGAGATGAAGCCCATGGGGGCTAAAAGCCAGCTAAGCCAGGCGCATCAGATGCAAGAGAGAACATAGAGACTCTTTTAGCCTTACCTCAGCAAGAGGCCATGGACAGTGGAGTCGTAGGGCAGAGCTCCTCCCAGCTAAACAGCCCTACTGGTTCATGGAATCATAGAATGGTAGAGTTGGAAGGGGCCATGAAGGCCATTGAGTCCAACCCCTGGCTGTTGCAGGACACCATGTTACACCACTCCACTCAGATGGCTGTCCAGTTTCGCCTTGAATGTCTCCAGTGTGGAGAGCCCACCACCTCTCCAGGTAGCTGGTTCCACTGTCGTATTGCTGTAACAGTGAGGAAGTTTTTCCTGCTGTCCAGCCTGAATCTGGGTTGTCTCACTTGACTTGATTAGTCCGTGTCCTACACTCTGGCATCAGCAAGAAGAGATCTTGACCTTCCTCTTTGCTCACCCAGCCCCGCCTCCAAAGGCACTCACCTGCATCTCTGCAGACCTGCATAGCATGGTTTTTGGCACAAGGAGGTCCATCCCCTGCTAACTTGGTTCAGCATGTTCAGACTCATGTGCACATGGGCGTGTTGCAAGTTCGTTAGGTTTAATGTGTTACTGCTACCCCAAACTGGGAAAATCGGCATTAAAATGGCAGCTGTGTTTCAGTGTAAGTAAACCTCAACATCAGCTGTATTCTGGGCACATCCAGCCGAATGGAGACTGATCTTTGGTCACCTGAGGAGAATGAGATCTTGAAGAAAGCTGTTGAGTGGTGGACACCTTGATGAAAATTTCAAGCATGGGGTTGCTGTGGAAAAGACAAGAACTATGTTCAGCATGATCGGAAAAGAAACTCGAAATTGTTGATACCACAATTCCCTTACGCTAACCTGCAGTGGCAGCACACTAAGAAAATTGGGCGCAGTCCTGCTCATCACACCCCGAAAAAGAATACATTGCAAAATGGGAAAGGGATCATCAAAGAAGCGGAAGCAACACCTGAGACTGTTAAAACACCTGGGTGTGTTTTGCTTAGAGAAAAAGTCAAGGGAAAAACATAATACAAGTGTTAAAATGATGCATAGTATGAAGAAAGTGGATGGCAAGACCTTGTCATCATCCTGGAACCTAGGGGAAGTTTCAGGACATATAGAAGGAAAAGCTTCTTCATACAATCTGAAATGAAACCGTGAAATTTGCTTCCCCAAGATGAAGCAATGGCTACCAATTTGGATGGATTTAAAAGGGGACTGGACAAAGTTGTGGAGGTGAAGGCTACCAGTGGCCATCAGTCTGACGGCTACAAAGAGCAACCACCAGTATTTGGGGAAGTACGCTTCTGTATGCCAAGTGGGATTTTGCGCTTGCCTCCTACTTGTGGACTTGGAGCACTGGAGCATCAAGTTGGTCACCATGAAGATACCATATTGGACTTCAGTCTGATCCATCACAGCTCTTACATTTTCACACAATTCCCTTTAGGGAAGGGAAGGGAGAGACCATTTGAAGGAGGTAAAGTCATACCCATTACCATTTAAAGGGAAGGCATAAGATCATTAAGTCCAGCATCTACAATTAAGAACACCACTGCCTAGAACTTTATGAACAACTCATTAAAACAATCCATCTCACACCTTGTGACAGCAAATCCTGTAAGCAAATTGTTGTGTGCAGGAACTTTGTCAAGGGATGTGTATGTATGTATATGCCAACCCTTCAGGAGAAGGAAACACCCCTTTGGTGATGGTGCAGAAATGCACGGGAAGGGAGGAGGTGTTTTTTCACAGCAACTTATGCGAAGCTTTAGGAATATCCCATACATCTCCCAGTGGCACATAGCTTTCTTCCAGACTTCAACTCCTTTGAGCTAAAGCACAAAACAAGAATTTGGCTGGAGGGCCTGTGACCCCCTGTCCAACCTGGGAAAGAGCCTGGAGGGTGCTCTAGGACTGCTACCTGAGGAGCAGGTCAGGGCTGTTTCTCAAAGTGCCTCCTCCTATTCACGGGTATTTATTATTATTGATTGATAGGACTGTAAGAGCAATCAGACTCTCTAAGTGGTTCACAGTCATAACAATAAACAAAGATAACCAATTTAAACTATAGATATTTAACAATGTATCAGTATAACAAATAAGAGCTCCGAGTATAAAAGTGTGGTGAATTAAAAATATTAAAAATTCTTTTAAAAACATTGCAATAAAAATTAATTATTAAAATGTCTGGACAATAATAAGTTAATAAGGGTAATAAGAAGGCTTCTACTTCCTGAGATCATGCTACATTGATCCATAATTCTGAAACAGTCAGGCTTAACTCCTGCATGGAACTTTACAGAAGCTTCAAGAAGTGCAGAACCAACACTGCTTTTGCTCTTTGTAGCACACTGTAATTCTGCATAAGTTACACTGGATGCTTCTGGGCCTAATTCAAGATTATTTTTTCCTCTTTGCTGACTGTTCAAAGGATTTTAAGACCTATCTTTTTGTAAACCTTTGACTGTAAACCTGTTTTGTGGCTTGATGTTTTGCATCTGATATTGTTGATGGGGGCACAAGCAGTCAACAGCATTATCCCCTGTAAGGGGACAATGTTGTTGACTGTATATATATACAGTTAAATATATTTCTATATACTTTGAACTTTTGGGAAAGCTGCATCAAGTATCATCTTAGGGCATGATTCTATGATTTTCTGTGTCTTCTGGGAGGCTATAGGGTTCTTCAGAGTCTCAGATTCGATGTCCTCCAAGTTTGGAGGCTTCGATGCATCAAAGCTGTAGGGCAGAGGCTTGCAACCCTAATAATTCATTAGGTAAGTGTTCCTTCAAGTTAAGTAATTCTTTATGTAAACATCATCTGTAAACGATAATAAAAAGGACTGCTTACTAAAAGAAGGGAACTGGGAAGAAAGGAAAGAGCATTTGCTCTGGAGGACCTGCTCCTAAATGGAAAGATGCTAGGCAATAATTACTTTGTAATGGGATCCCTTACTAGGGCCCCCCAAAACTGGTCCTCTTCACCACGGCAACCTGCTTGTTCACCTGCCTCTCACACCTCATTGGCTCTTTGACTGTGGAGCAAGCGAGGGGTACCCATGATGAGAAGCAACTAGTGAGCAGGGCATCTCCCAAATGGAGGAGGCCCTCAAAGGGAACTTGCCCAAGCTGCCTCCAAACTTTTGATCTGGGGCCAGTGGCCATACAGCCAACATGGGCCTTCAACAGGCCTCTCCTCCTCAGTTTATCTAACTCCTCCTAAAACATGGTGATGGAAAACCTCATTAGAAGATGCTGTGCATCAAATGTTCCTTCTTGTCTGTCCTGAGCTGACTCTCAGTTTTATTTGATGGCCTCTAAGCATTAATCTGATGAACAATAGAGGAGAAATGCCATGCATAATTTGGCAGATCTGTGAAAGCACGGATGGAGAACTGGTTGGATATGGTTGGGCCCTTAACTCCAGAGGGGCCAATACTTGAGAATTGTTCTCCAGCACATCCTCAAGGCAGCCATCCATTTTCTTAGGAGCAAGCCCCACTGAACATAATGGTGCTACCTTATGAGAAAACATGCAAAGCATGGCCCTTTTTTAATAGGAAAGGTGCTTCAAGCCCTGGATCACATCGGTTGTCCTTTCTTGCAAGATCCTCTAGAGCTGTAACAGAATTGTCCAAATCGAAAGCCTCAGTAGAAGCTTCAACAGATCTTCAGAATTCAAAGCCAACCTTTTGAAAGCCAACTTGGTTTAAGTAATACTCTTGTAAAGATGCAACTCGGCTGCAGTTCTGACAGCAAACAAGAACATCACCAGCACCATGCAATTCCAGTTAAGAGAAATTAGCCTGAGATCACCTTTCCTGTCTGCTTCTACTTTAGGACCTTTCACCATAGTTCTTCCTCTCCTCAAGGGAGGAGCTTGCCTAGCCTCGTGCTCCGCCTTGTCTGGGAACACAGATGAAATTCAGCATGACTTGCTGAATTATCAAGACACATCCTGCATAAAATCCATGGCTGCTGGCCCCAGGAAGCTTGAGCGTATTTGCAAAATACTTCCCCTCAGATGCCCCAGAAGATGTTAGTGTTCTTCAGATGGTTTCTTTCCAGCATACTAAATATTTCTCTCCCTGCCCCCCCCCCACACACACACACAAACAACAACAAACAGTTCTGAGGCGTTTATGAGGGGGACTTTTTCACAAGGTAATGTGCATTGCTTTGGTTAACTTCAAAATGTGGTACACCAACCTTCTGCTTTCGGAGACCCTTCTGTTCATGCTGCAGAGTGGCCTCCTCCCATAAATTATGCCCTGATGGCATCAATAATAAAGCAT